AATTCTAATAATAATAGCATCTCAACAATATCAACAAAGAACAAATCAAACATTGAAACATCTCAACAAAATTCCTAAAATCAAAGCCCTAATTAATTTCAACAAAATCACAAAATTATAATTCAATCTCTAAGTAAACCCTAGAATATTAAATTTTAAATTAAAACTATAATTGAAGATATATAGAAAATGAGAGAATTATAAATTACTTGTTGTTGTAGAAAGGAGAGGACAAGATTTTGCTAAGTTGCCCACTGTCTAGCCAATATAATAGGAAGATGCATAAAATAGAGAGGGAAAAGGGATGCTGTTGTTGTCGGGTCTATAGAATAGAAGAGAGAAAAACTGGTGTGCCAAAAGAGAAAAGACAAAAGCTGGGACCACTTTGAAGTTGGATGGGCAACGTGGATATATTGGGTTAGTTAGCTTTTAAACTTAGGCTGCCCTTATAACATATATAGGTTTTTAAATAATAATAAAAACTTTTGATGTGCGGGCACTCACCCTGCCCTTTACACTGATCCGCCACTGAATGTAAATAACTCAACAAAAGAATAAAAAAGAACATTAACACGTAAACGAAATTACAACATAAAAAATTTAGAGCCTCAAATATAAAGTCCCGGACATAGAGCCCCGTTGTGAGAGAGAATACATTTTCCATCGAAGGTACCATATGTGTACTGAAAGAAAAAAAAGATACAAACCAGCCTTAATAATAGTGTAGAGGTCTTAGTCAAAAAGTAGACGTTCCATCCTGTATTGGAAGAAAACACATCTGGGAAAAAAAGACGAGAAGTTGCCTTGAAGGTTCCTTACCCTTTACTTCAACAAATTGTAGGTACCTTCGCATTACAAAGAAACTGCTTCAATTGACTATAACTAAATACCATAGAGATAGTCGTCAACATTGCTGCTTTAGACCAGTTTAAGAAAAAACAAACCATAAAACTCGTTTCAGTATTCTTTCAATTTTTTATTTTCAGACAAAAAAACAAAATCTTTGGAAATATCACCCATTTGTCCTATTTAGCAATACTGGCCATGTGCACTATATTAAAGCAATTTATTCAGCAAAGAAAAGGTAAAAGGCCGTGCCTCTCACCCATAGATGCTTCAATAAATTAAAGACCGCGTCTCTGTCAAAATAAATAAATTAGCGTTTGATGACTTTGAAGTTAAAACGAAAGCTCCTCCACATGGAAGGTGGTAGGAAACTGCTTCGTCAACCCCTCATAAATCTAACCAGAGCGCCACTGCCATGCCCAATTCTTTGAGCTTCTCTTTTACTTTTAATTATCTGCCTCCTATCTATGACTACTCAACCAGTCTCTTCTTCTTTCCCCACTCCAATTTTATCCACTTACACTTCATTTTATAACTAAAAATCAAGTGTAAGTGGATAAAATTGGAGTGGGGAAATCATTACCTTTTTTATTTATTAATCTAGTCAAATTTCTCTATTTTCTTATATATTCTTTTGTTTTTTTATTTATTAAAAATATCTCAAAATAAATCTATGTTAATTGTATCAACCAACGATGGATCCAAGGCCAAACTTACATGACAATAACGGATATAAACATTTGTTTTTATTTTTACTAACCTCTTTGCACGGGCTTCTGTGCCTACGAGATGCTTTTTTTTATTAAAAAAAATTAAATTTATTTTAGAATTAAAAAATATAATGGGTAATTGTGTTCCATAAAAATAGGATCCATTATCTGATTTTTCTTTTAATTTTAATTTTTTTGATATGAAAAAGTGTGAATTTACCATATTATCCTCATTTAATTAATAATTTCAATTCTTAATGTTTGCATTAACCAAGGGTATTTTTTGGTATTTTGAATGTTTCACTATTCTCTGTTTTTTGCTTTATATATATCTATATATATAAAGCAAAAGGCAGAGAATGGTGAAACATTCAAAATACCAGAAAATGCCCTTGGTTAATGCAAACATTAAGAATTGAAATTATTAATTAAATGAGGATAATATGGTAAATTCACACTTTTTCATATTACAAAAAAATTAAAATTAAAAGAAAAATCTGATAATGGATCCTCTTTTTATGGAACACAACCACCCATTATCTTTTTTAATTCTAAATTTTTTTTTCTTCTTTTTAAAGCCTCTCGCAGGTGCGGAAGCGCATGCGGAGAGGCTAGTAGATAAATAAACAAAATTCTATTTAACCCAAACACAAAAATAAAAGGTAATTGAAACCTCTAATCTAAGAGAAAACAGTAAAAACAGTTTATATGCACATACAAATATATAATATTAAAAACCATAGGGGAAGGATATAAGTATTACAAAGATACAAATATTATGTATACCAAAACATGAAATATGTTTTGTTGTTAATTTTTCTCTTTATCGGGGATAATTTATTTTCTTTAAATAAAAAAGTCATGATTATATACCATAAGAAGTGGGGACCCCTACTAGCCATACACAAAGTCCGCCATGTACTCAAGTGTTTTTCACTAACTTCGGACAATTGGGTTCATAAGACCATCTGCAATGGTTAAGATCAATTCAATTTTATTGTATGAAATTGAACTAAAATAGTAAAGTGGCACTTGCAATTGTGTGATTTAGTTCATTGCAATAGAGAGTGCTATGTGATCAGAGCTGGTCCTGAGCTCTCAAAGGCCTAAGGCGAAAATCTAAAGTGCGTCCATGTACACACATTAATAACTGAAACTGTAGTTTTTTTTTTATATAATAAACTAAGCATTGATTTTTTTAAGAAAATATTTTTCTAAAGATCTTTTTTAGACTTTGAGCTATGTCTTATTTTTCTTTTTAAGATTTCTAGAGTTCTAAATTTTATATTAAATAGAACTAATGACAATAAAAATCTAAACAATCACCACAACAAGTTAGAGGCAATAGCAATAAAGCAACTAAAAATATGATCAATCACACTCAAGCATGAAATGTTCAACTCTAATAATTTAACTAATAAACAGAGAACAATATAACATCTGGATTTTGAACATATTTTTCCCTTCAAATATAATCACATAAAACTAAACTAAACATTCAGTTCTCATCCTCTAAACATTCAATGCTTGTATAAAATAAAATAAAAACATTCAAATCAACTTAAAATATAAAAAAGTTAAGAAAACTAACAAAACATATTGACAGAATATGGTGGTTAATTTATTAACATGAAGAAGATAGTGAGTGAGTAAAATTGTCGAACCAAGGTGGTTAGTGTGAGTGGTTCGGCACTCTCATTCCTTAAGAGAGGTCAGGGGTTCGATCCCTGCTCTCGTATGGAGTCACCACTTTGGCCAGCACTTTACCCCTTACGGGCCAATCCGTTGTGAGCGGGGATTAGTCTGGGTTGTGGTTAAGGCTTAAAGGTGCCACCCATAGTTGGGGCCCATTCAGGACCATCTCGTGGTTCAGACAAAAAAAAAAAAAGAAAAAGAGGAAAAGAATGAGAAAAAACAAAGGAAAGTTTTGATACCTCTTCAAAAATCCAAATTGCAAAATTTCAAGTAGCACAACCTTTCATTCAATTGTGCTCTCTTCAAGATGGCCAAGACCCATAAAAGAAATACCATTTCGACTGAAAAAAAAAGATAGAAGAAATACCAGTTCCTTTTTAAAAGTATTTTTTTCACTTTGGCTTTGATTGCTGATTGAAACCCACAAATTGACGAATCAATCACTTTGATTTTGCTCAACAGGTTATCAATTCTTAAATTATTATTATGTTCATTTGACTTTTTATTGGAAAGGAGGAGAAATGGTTTTGGTTTCCAACGCATGACTTAATGTTGAGTGTCTATTTAGTTTCTTCTCTCTTTTTTCTCTTCTTTTTTTTTTCCTTTTTCTATGAAAAATTTGCGCCCCATTGTATTTTGGCCCCGGGCTGTGGCCCTGGTCGCCCTAAGCCAGGGCCAGCTCTGTATGTGATGAACTCTCTATTGAATTGCAATAGGCTAACTATGAGACCCACATGCCAATAAACTGAAGCTATTGAACTGTACCATTGTAAGTAAAACCGCAATTCAATTTAATAGATGCCAAAATAGTTCAAACAATATACTGGCAAACTTAGATTACTTATCTCTTTTCTTTTCTTTTTCCTGCAAAAAAGAGTTCAATACCCAAAAGAATCATTACATGTTCCCTCTACTATTAGCTCAACCAGATGAACTGTACAAGTGGGAAGGGGAGGACCCATTACAATTCCAAAATCTCTAAAATATGGGATACAACCAAATTCCATGACAAAAAGAAAAAAGGAAAGTGCTGCTCAAGAAGAAAAAGTTTCAACTATACAATATTATATTCTTCGCTGAATTAAAGACCATCCATTTCTCAGTTCCATCATGTTGTTGTATTTTTTTTTAAATGGAACGGTAACTTTAGGTATTTTTTCTTTTAGTGCTTCCCTTTTATTTCAGCCGGCTGTGTTTTCGGGGGATTTTTTTTTAGCCCAACGCTTATTGATTTATTGATTTATTTCAAGTTTTTCAACCCAGTTTTTCTTATAAATACCCGCCACATTTCTTCTCCACCAAATACATTTACAGAAAATAAAAGAAAAAAAAGAAAAATTAGTACGTAAGCTAAATTACAACATAAAAAATTTAGGGCCTCAAATGTGAAGTCCAGACATAGAGCCTCATTTACTAGTCAAAAAGTAAACGTTTTATCATGTATTGAAAGAAAGCAGATCTTGAGAAAAGACGAGAAGTTGCCTTGAAGGTTCCTTACCCACTTTTACTTTTGTATTGAAAGAAAGCGCGTCAGTGAAACAAGAAATTTCAGCGTTTGACCACTTTTGTAGCTGCCAATGTAGGCCCATTTGTGCTATTTAGTAATAAGTTGTAACTATTTAGGAGCTGTTAGTGGGTCTTTATAATTTAATAACTTTTATATATTTTTAGTTAAAATTTAAGTAGATGCTCTGAATTAAAGACCGCGTCAGTATATTAAAGAAAATTCAGCATGAAACCGAAGTTCCTCACACCTAAAGAGACAAAAATATAAAAAAAGAAAGTTCCTCACACCTTTAACTTAATCATGTCCACATTTAAGGTGGTAGGAAACTGCTTCGTCAAGCCTCATCAATCTAACCAGAGCGCCACTGCCATACCCAATTCTTTGAGCTTCTCTTCAGTTTTATCTGCCTCCTATGACCACTCAACCAGACTCTTCTTCTCCTTCTTCTTCTTCTCCATATGATGTCTTTCTGAGTTTTAGAGGCGCGGATACACGCACCACTTTTATAGATCATTTGCGCAATGCTCTGGTTGGTAAAGGGATCCACACCTTCATTGATGATGATGAGCTTCCAAGAGGAGAAGAAATAAAGCCAGTCCTTGTCAAAGCAATTGAAGACTCAAGAATTTCTGTCATTGTATTCTCTGAAAACTATGCATCTTCGAGGTGGTGTTTGGATGAACTTGTTGAGATCCTTCGATGTAAACAATCAAAGCAACAAATAGTTTTGCCCATTTTTTACAAGGTGGATCCATCTCATGTGCGAAACCAAACAAGTAAATTTGGTGATGCATTTGATGGCCTTATTGAAAGCAAATTCAAGGATGACAAGGAGAAAGTGCTTATTCAAAGCAAATGGAGGAAAGCTCTTACGGAAGCAGCAAATTTGTCTGGATCGCATTTCAACGAGGGAGAGTATGTTTATATGTTTATCATTTTCAAATTTAATTTTTTTCTCTCTTCTTTCCCTACTTACACATTGAATTGTTACTCATTATTAAAGAAAAGTATCCTTTTGTAAAAATATAAAATTGTAGGGAGAAGATCTTTTTTATATTTTATATTTTTTTTTTGTAAAAATATAAAATTGTAGGGAGAAGATCTTTTTTATATTTTATATTTTTTTTTTGTAAAAATATAAAATTGTAGGGCATTATGTTTAATTTAGTGTCTTGATTCTATATTTCAGGGTTATCTATCTTTTCAAGTTAACTTAATTTCTTTTTCTTTTTTACTTGGGTTACATTTAATTCTTACTCATTAAAGAAAAGTATTCTTTTGTAAAAATATACAACTGTAGGGAGATTATTTATTTTCTTGGGTACTTTTTGTTGGAGTATGTAGAGCTAGGATTGTGACAAGTGTCACTTAGTCATTGACTGATGTTAGATTAGTTAGTAAGCTGTTGTAATCAGTTAGAGCCTTATAAAGCTTAACTCTCTGTATAGTAGAGTAATCTGAGAAATAATACAGAAAGGTTCATCTTCTTCTTAATTCTCTCTCTATTTTCCCTTTCGTTAACATGGTATCAAGAGCCATGGATCGATCCTGCGTTCTTCTGCTTCCGCTTTCTATGCCTTGACATTCTTTTCTAGAACTTCATGGAAATCGACGTCTATATCTGATTCTTCCACTTCATTCTTGAATTATCAATTTCATCAAACTGCCTTTAGTGTTTCTAGTTATTTGGGATTTTTCAGTCTCATATTTGATTCGAGGACGTCTCAATTGGGGTTTGTTACTGATTTTGGGATAATACTCAATTGATACTCGGTTTTGGGAATTTTCAATGTACTTGATCAATTCCGAGCTTTTCTGCTTCCCCCTTCCAATCTCTACTCATATTTGTTCTCTTGCTTCTGGTTCTTTGGCTTTTCTTTCTTCACGATAGTGCCAAGAATTGTTCTCTACGCTTTGCCTACTACATGTTCGCTCTATTGCCTCATCGACTGTTCTTTGCAACTCTTTCTTTCTTTCTGTTGTTCAACAAGATGGTGACTACAGGATGGTGACTCCTACTCAACTTCAACTTGTTCAATCTCCGATTGCAACTCTCATTCCTACTGTTTCTACATACATCTGTGACAGTCAAGCTTGATGATACAAATTATTGGACTTGGCATTTCCAAATGAATCTTCTTCTTGAAGGTCGTGGCCTCTTGGGTTTTGTGGATGGTTCAAGGAAATGTCCTGCACATTTTGATAAAGATTTAGATATTGAAGGTGTTGAGATTGATGCTTATCAAGTATGGAAGATGCACGATTGTGCCTTGATGCAGCTGCTTATTGCAACTCTCTCTTCCACTGCAATTCTGCTATTTGGGTCCTATGGATGTTCTTTTGGTTGGGTATGTCTATTGTTCATCCTCTATCTCTCTGATTTCAATAATTGGAGAATACCTATAGTCAAAGATTCAAGCTTTCTATTCACCTTTGCTTGCTATAAAATCAACTTCATGTTCTTGAATACATCACCATTGTTCTGTCACAATTCTCTTCTCTCACTCTTCTTATCTCAGGGGACAAAGAATTTCCCATTTCATTCTCTTCTATCTCTTTCTTCTTATCTCAAGGAACAAATAATTTCTCATATCTCGTTCTCTTCTATCTGTTTCTCCAATCTCAAAGGGAACAAACTCCTTTCTACAGTCTCTAAGGGAAAGAATTTATTAATTCTTCCTCTTTTCTATCTTCTTTCTACAATCTTCAGGGAACAAAAGAATTTCCCACTTCTTCTTGCTTTCTATCTCATTTCTCTAAATTCTCAGGGAACAAGAATTTCCCTATTCTCTTCTTCTATCTCTTTCTAGAACTTCCCTCTCCTCTTCTTCTATCTCTTTCTAGAATTTCTCTCTTCTCTTCTTCTATCTCTATCTCGATGTGGGGGTCTGATTACATCATTGATTTGGAATAGAGTTGGTACTCTTTGCTGGGTTATATGCAATACATGCAGCTCACTATAGCAGTACTCTTATGTCTCAAGCTTTGGATTGGTGCTCCAAACACAAGGAAAAAAAAAAAAAAAAGCCTACTCTGCTTCGACTATAGCAAAATTCAACGCTTTTTCTGCTTCTTTGGTTTAAGCATTGTTCCAATCTCATGGTTGGATTCTCCACCCATGATCTTGCGGGGGGATGTTAGAGTATGTAGAGCTAGGATTGTGACAAGTGTCACTTAGTCATTGACTGACAAGTGTCACTTAGTCATTGACTGACGTTAGATTAGTTAGTAAGCTGTTGTAATCAGTTAGAGCCTTATAAAGCTTAACTCTCTGTATAGTAGAGTAATCTGAGAAATAATACAGAAAGGTTCATCTTCTTCTTAATTCTCTCTCTATTTTCCCTTTCGTTAACACTTTTGTATTTTCGATAGCTGTAAGGAGAAAGTTCAAAATCCATATATATTAATCTCTTCAAAAGGCATACAAGTATAAATGATACATAACATTAGGTTTGTGGTTAAACAACTATTACATCTTTTTTTCTTTTTTAGTTACGTACATCAGTATGCTGTGTTCTTTTGTGTGGTTGGATATTTAAATGTGTCTAATTTGGTTAAACTGGCAGGTATGAAGCTACATTTATCAACAACATTATTGATGAAATCTTCAGCAAAGTACTGAGCCGCACATCTTTGAATGTGGCCACACACCCAGTTGGAATTAAATCTCGTGTACAAGATGTGGAAAGGCTTTTAGATGTTGGTGGGAATGGTCGTTGCATGGTTGGGATATGGGGGACATCTGGAATAGGCAAGACAACAATTGCAAACGCTATATGGAATGCAATTGCAGATAAGTTTGAAGGAAGTTGTTTCTTGGAAAATGTTAGAGAAAAGTCAATAACACATGGAGGCTTAATCCAGCTACAGAAGACCCTTCTTCATAAGTATCTAGGCAAAAAGTTGAAAATTCATAGTGTTGCTGAAGGAATTGGTGTTATAAAAGAACGGTTGAGACATAAAAAAATTCTCTTAATTCTTGATGATGTGAATGAATTGGAGCAATTAGACAATTTGGCTGGAGTTGGTTGGTTTGGTGAGGGAAGTAGAGTCATTACAACTACACAAGATAGGGGATTGCTAGAACGTCATGGAATTGTTTTGATATACAAGGTCCAAATGTTATATGACGACAAAGCTCTTGAGCTTTTCAGTTTGAATGCCTTCGGAAAAAGTAAACCTCCAAATGATTATTTGGAACTCGCACAACGAGCAATAGCCTATGCTCAAGGCCTTCCACTAGCTATAACACTTTTAGGTTCCCATCTTCGTAATAAAGGAATACATCGTTGGCGATATATATTAGATAGTTATGAAGGACAACCTTACACGGGTATTCAAAAAATACTTCAAAAAAGTTATGATGCATTAGATAATTCAGTGCAACATGTTTTTCTAGACATTGCATGTTTCTTCAAGGGTGAAACGAAGGACTATGTGCTACAAATAGTAAGCAATTCTAAGAACAAGGTCTCCCGAGATTGTATTGAAGTACTGATTGAGAAGGCAATGATAACTATTGACTATGGTAGGATTCGGATGCATGACTTACTAGAAAAACTGGGCAAGGATATAGTTCATGAAGAATGCCCCAATAATCCTGGTGAGCGTAGTAGATTGTGGTCACTTGAGGATGTTTACCATGTTCTAACGGTGGAAAATAGTGTAAGTATAATACATGTTCTTATACTCATTTCGACAAGAACAAAGTGTATTAGCATTTGGTTTGAAAAACGACTTGGTTTCTTGATATTAATAGTTTTCCATCTCAGGGAACAACAAAAATTAAGGGCATCATGCTGAAGTTTTCCAAACCAGATGAGATACGCTTGCATTCAAAATGCTTTGTTGGGATGAGAAATCTTGAAATTTTCATAAATCGTAATGTATTTCTCTCTGGTGACGTTGAATATCTGCCCAACGAGTTGAGGTTGATTGATTGGGGGGGTTATAGATGTCAGTTACAATCTTTGCCATCCGAGTTTCATCAAGTACATCTTGCTGACTTCAATATGCCTGGCGGTAGTATCAAACGATTGGGGAAATTGAAGGTACCAATTTAAATTAATTACTTATGTATTATTATCTGTTTTCAAGAAGAAAAAAAAAAATCTAAAGTTGTTTTTTTAAGGGTGTGATTTGATAATTTCCTATTTTATGTTTTTGTGTCACAGAATATGCTAAAGCTAACATCTATGGATTTAAGTGGTTGTCAATTCTTAGAAAAAATTCCTGACTTATCCGGAATCCCAAACATAAAGTACTTGAATCTAAGTCGGTGTACAAGTTTGGTTGAGGTTGATGATTCTGTTGGATGCCTTGATAAACTTGTTCAATTGAATCTTGAAGGATGTGTTAGGCTTACGAGGTTTGCAACAAGACTTAAATTGAAATCCTTAGAAACACTTGATCTACGTGATTGCAAAAGGCTTGAAAGTTTCCCAAAAATAGAAGTCGAGATGGAATCACTACGGATATTGCGTATGGACAGAAGTGGCATAAGAGAATTGCCTCCATCAATTGAATATCTTACTGGGCTTCGGCAATTGGATCTTAGTGGATGCTTCAATCTTACAAGGTTTGCAACAAGACTTAGATTGAAATCCTTAGAAACACTTAATCTACGTGATTGCAAAAGGCTTGAAAGTTTCCCAAAAATAGAAGTCGAGATGGAATCACTATGGATATTGCGTATGGACGGAAGTGGCATAAGAGAGTTGCCTCCATCAATTGAATATCTTACTGGGCTTCGGCAATTGGATCTTAGTGGATGCTTCAATCTTACAAGGTTCTCCACACTTAGATTGAAATCTCTTGAAAAACTTGACCTTAGTTATTGCAAAATGCTTGAGAGTTTCCCAGAAATAGAAGTCGAGATGGAATCACTATGGACATTGAATATGGAAGAAAGTGGCATAAGAGAATTACCTCCATCAATTGCATATTTTACTGGGCTTCGAGTATTGGATCTTCGTCGATGCTTCAATCTTACAAGGTTTGCAACAAGACTTAGATTGAAATCCTTAGAAACACTTTATCTAAGTGATTGCAAAAGGCTTGAGAGTTTCCCAGAAATAGAAGTCGAGATGGAATCACTACGGATATTGCGTATGGACGGAAGTGGCATAGGAGAATTGCCTCCATCAATTGAATATCTTACTGGGCTTCGACAATTGGATCTTAGTGGATGCTTCAATCTTACAAGGTTCTCCACACTTAGATTGAAATCTCTTGAAAAACTTGACCTTAGTTATTGCAAAATGCTTGAGAGTTTCCCAGAAATAGAAGTCGAGATGGAATCACTACGGATATTGTTTTTCTGGATCAGGTTTCTGTCTCTTCTCTCTCTGTGTCTCTCTTTGTCTCTCCCTCTATGTTATATAGTTAAGATGATGATTGTTGTAACCAATTCTATTGTAGGTATCTTCTCCGCATTCTCAATTTCAAATTACTCTTCCAGGCGATGAAGTACCAAAGTGGTTCAGCTATTGTAAAGATGTAACACTAGTTGAACGTTCCTTTGGATGCAATGGTCGATGTGAAGTTAGTTTTGAAATTCCTCCAAATTTAGATTGGGAGACGTTAAGATTGGTTCTATGCGTTGTTAATAAAGGAAACGCATATGTTCATCTCGGCGGGGCAAAGACACGTGTTCATATCAATAGAAAAATGGTCCAATCGATATTTGTGGAGGCAACGGAAACTCATGTGGCTCTCAACTGTATTCCATTATTGAATCGGAGCGAGTTAGGTGTGGGGGAAGAACTGACGCAGTTGCAGCAGGGTAATATGTGTCAAATTATATTTGAGTTCTATAGAATGCCCACACCCGTTAAAATCCTCTGCGGGGTCCACCTATTAGGCCACCAGGTTGCTGATCATGGGCGAATGCAGTGGTTGCCTGATGCGATGGCAGTGGACGATGATATTAATGATGATCAACACCAAGACAACGAATTTCTTTCCTTGCCTTCAGCATCAGTGACTAGTCTTGGCAAGAGGCCTTGGTTGGCACTTGATGATGATTACTTTTCCATGGAGCCGGATGATATTCATGAGGATCAACACCAAGACAACGAAATGAAAAGCTTGATGAGCAGCATAGTGTCATGCATATTATGTTGTTCTCGAACTCCTGTCTAGTTTGCGAATAGATTTTGGTTCTTTGAATACCAGTTGCGAATAGATTTTGGTCCTTTGAATACCAGTTGCTGTTTGAACAGCCCTGGTAGAGCTAACATCTCCAATGGCTCCATTACCCAAAAAGAATTTGGCTTTAGAAATTAAGAAAAAGACGCTAGGAATTATAACTTCTTTCTTTGTTCACGAAAGCGCATTATTATTGTCATTGCATGACCGGATAGCTACTGTAGATGTCGAATGTCCAATTTTATCCACCAAAAATTACAAGGGGCATCTCATAGTCAAAAAGATAACTACAACTTATAATGTGAACTGACACCAAGTAAAACTTATGACAAACAGGAATAAATGTCCCTACAACACAAAAACAAAAATTCACTTCATACAGCATTATTATAACAAGAGAGAGGCACACAGCAGTGTAAATGTAGGCAAATATGCGTGGCAGAACCATGTGTCCGTGGAGCACTGCAAAACCGCCCACATTGCCGCAAAGAAAAAGCTCCTCATTGAAATGGCTCAAACCAACATATTCAAGCAACACCAACTTGGTTATATTCCTACACAAGCCACTGTCCAACAAATACAAAAGCCTATACCTCATTTTTGCCACCATTCTTGGTGTATGGTGCCTTTACAGCTCTGCATGGTGGCCTTGAAACTTGTTTGAATTGAGTTGTATTTCCTATCATATAGCCAGCCACACCAAATGCACATACCATAAAGCAAACAATCTCGAATAATCATGATTGAAAGTTTGCCATTCTGAACAGTTTTAGCCCAGCAAATCTTTAAACAAGTTGGGATTCTGACTTGTTGGGGTCACACCCATCTGCCTTACAAGTGCATCCTTTTCCAAGGAATCTTTAGGGTTAGGACCCTTATTCAATTGTGTTACCCCACTTTGAGCAGCTCTTGTAGCATTTGATAACTCAGATGCAAGATTAAACTCATCCCTATTGGTCGGCAAAGGGTCGCCAACACTGCTACTAAGCCCGCTGAGAGATGTATCTGCATATAATCCCATAATATCAGGTGTCTTAGCAGCACCAGCTGCACCATGATTTGCAGTTAATGCAACTTCAGTTTGATCAAGAAGCCCTTCTAACTGCTTGAAAGGATCTACAGTGGAAGCAGTACTACTAGTTGAGTCACCCAAATCGAGCAAGTCTGGAGCATGGATAACTTCAGTGTGTACAGCTGCTGACCTGGGGCTTCTCTGAAGCATGGATATTCGCCTTAGACAACTTATGGTTGGCAGAAGATGGCCTCCTCTCGGTTTTTGATGATCCCCCAAACAGTGAACTGGCAAGCTTCTGCTTTTCTGGAGAAATTTCAACCTGGGGCCTCCTTGACTCATAAGTATCACGTGCTTTTGAATTTGAAGCGCTCACGCTATCTATTTGTGTGACCCCATTCGCTGATTTCTGGGAACTAGAACTAGAGGAATTTGAGATCGACAATGCTGGGGAGGAATATGTTGGCCTACCCCATTTTCTTTGAACAACATCTAGTCGTAACTTAAGTTCCGATGATCCTGCATCTGACACAGGTGGCAATGATGCAGGCTGGCGGATCTCCCTAGCATAAGATGGCTCAGGAACTGGAACAAGCTCGGTTGAGGATGCAACTGCAGCTGGAGCAACTCTTGATGGCACTGGCTTTGGAAGCTCATATGCCTCAAACCTAAGACTATGGGGTAAAGCTTCATGCTGAGGGACTTTCAAGGATTCTATTAGAACAATTTTCAAGGATTCTATTTGATATATCTCAACAAATGCTTTCCAAAAGATACATTTCGTAAATTAAAAAATAAAAAAATTTATAAGAAAAAGAAGAGAAAATTAAAGTTAATACTTTAAAGGAGAAGCAAAAAAATAGAAGGGTACGAGTAACGCAATTAAATATGACCTCAATGTCTTCAAAACTTGCGTCTGATGGCATAATACTCTCAACTGCAGGAGCATCAAAGCTAATGACAGCTTGCAATTCATATGCACGCCGCTGCAGATCTGTTAAGTGAGAAGCCGACAATTCTTCCACCAAAGATTGACACTGCAAGGGAAGAAAGATTTTTATCAATCGATATATACTTCAACTTAAAAAAACAAAATGAAAGAAAGATTGTTTTGGCCTGTCATGGAAGAAAGATTTCCATGACAGGCCAAAACAAAATGAAAATGACAACATTATAGCTAATCATTGATTAGATGAATGTCAACATTATAACGGTGTCCAGAAAACTTCAACTTAAAAAAAGCATTAAACATTCATCATGCAACTATAGAGCTCTGGACCTCAAAGCAAGGGCCACTGATCATTGACACACACATGCACACATTTTTACGTACACATTTCAAAACCTGCACATAATATCTGAATGTTATCCAGCATATTTCTCCCTTACTAGCATTAACCATTGTATAAAGTAAAGTGGTACTATGTTTCTTTCTTATAGAAACTATTTCAAAAAAGCCCCACCACCAACCACTTAGTGCTATCCTCCGCTTGGTCACTAAATAGGTAAACATATGTTATTTCTAGCAACAATTATATCATACACATTCAGCTAAGTCCGACAATTCAAAAATCAATACAACCCTAAAACATCTTTTGACAATTCATCTTAAAACTTTTCCTGGTCCAGCCATCAGATCAAAAATTCTTAAAACAAATAGAGTACCCCATGGTAAAAAAAAAAATTATGACAAAAACAGAACATCAATTATAAAATAACATTTCAACTCTGATTCAACTTCTTGCTGACTAAGCCTTCAATCATTAAAAGATTTGGAAACTACATGCATACATACATACATATAGTCAACCATTCAAGTGCGGATGATCTACAGTGCACACGTCATTCTGCTAGAGCTGATGTTGAATTTTGGGAAAGCGGCTTGAGCAGCTGCTCAGTCCGTTTTGTTTTCAAGTCTCCTTTCTGTTTTCATTTTACATCTTTAATTTTTGTTTCAAAACAATTTGTTACTTTAGGATGTAGAATCACTTGTTAGCGCTTTAGAGTTTATGGTTTAACTATTGTGAATGGTAGCCGATACCCTAAGCATGACATGGATGAAAAGAAGGCCCACCAAACAGGAAAACTTAACCCTAAACCCTAAAGCTAAGCTCTGAACAGGTGAAAAAGCAAAAATAGCAAACACGCTCATTCCAGCTTGAGTGAATTGAACAGCAGCTTAAATGAACGTAGATTTGATGACATCCGCAATGCAGATGTCCACTACTAAACCAGATTCTAAATGTATACAAGTCCTTTTTTCCCAAACTACTAGGAGAATTCTGCACTGCCACTCATCTATCAAAATCCATGTTAATCATTACATCTTTTGATTAAACATCTTATTCAGATTTAGCTCTGCTCTTTAGAGAAATTCAACCCACTACTAAAAGCATATTTACAGACAATGCAATTTCCATCATTCGGAAAGAATAAATTCATTCCAGTCATGACTGATGCTAATCTATAAAGGGATGCCTGACCTCATTACCAGTAACTTTCAATCTTTCAACTAAATTTTCAGTCAAAGATCTGCAAGTTAAAAAATCTTATCTTCTCTCGGGGAAAGCAAAATAAAATGGCATAAATACCAGTAGAGCTCTTACAATTATGAGCATAAGTACTAATCATAATGCATTATTTTTAGCAGGAAACTAAAAGAAAAAAACTACTTGTAGGAAAACAACTGATTCAACCTCAGATACAAATGCAAAAATTGGGACTACACTGAACAAACATGGAGCAATTTTTTATCACCCTAGCCCAGAGAGGGTAAACCAGTAACTTCCATGGCTTTAACAACCCCTATAGCAGCAAAGTTCTAGAAGATGGCACCTTGATTGCCAAGTACTGTGCTACAGAAAACTAGTTTGTACCTCGCTATTAGCAAACCACCACTTAGGAAAAGAGAGATGGGATCATCCTATATGACCTATTTAATCTAAAATAAATAAAAAAATGGTAACCAAAAATAATAAAGACAAGATTAAAATAAATAAAGTGAAATTCCACATTATGCTACAAAAGCAAGATTGCCGTGGAAAGGGGTTCAAATCTATGCAGACGATTAATGCATGCAAATTGATATTGTTGTCAAAGTATTAAAGTTCATTATATGCACCTCAAGTAGGATATCCACTTTTCTTTGAGCTGAAATTTCAAAGGCATATATTTTCATGATTGCTATAACCGCATAAGCCTGTATGAGAAGAACAGACTCACTTCAGTTTCAACAAGTAAGATACAAATATACACACAAATACAAATGGTGCTTTTTTTATGAATAGATAACCAAATATAAAAATGAGAGAAGAAAATTTTAAACCTATGAAATACTCATAAAATACGAAATTTATGGTTGTTTACTTCTTAAGCAAATGGAAAATAAAAATTGTGTGCCCTGCGTTCTCTTCTTTATTCTTTCCATAAGCTCTCATGTTTCTATAACTACACAGAGACCCTGCTTATTCTAAACAAAGTAAATTTGTACTTCAAATTACCTTTTAGTCCCAATTCTTAAGAAAATATTTTTTAAAATTACGATTTGCACTCCCATTATTTTCATTCGGATTCTAGCTTTATATGCATTTTTAACAGTAGATATAATTAAATTGTGTCTCGTTTAATACAATTATACCCTGACCTCATTACCAAATTTAAGAAGCATGGAAAATTTCTTCAAATCAAACCCTAAAAAATTACAAATGCAGATAAT